GACCCGCCATCGACTACGTGGGAGTCCAGCGACATAGCCATTACACTAACTGCTGGTTCCCGCTGAGATGTCTTTCTTAAAGACATTATAACATAGAAACCCTCCACCACCTTCATTGCCAGCATAGCGCTAATTGCCTTTGCAGCACTTAATTGCTATATAGAAATGGTTTGTTTATGGTATCCTTAACTTCATTGGGGTATACTCAAGTCCTTGACATTGTTTGGCCCATAGAAAATGCTCAGTAAATATTTGTTAAATGATCATAACCCCAAGTCTGGTGTATGGGTATTGTATTTTGTTTACTCCATTCGAAGTAAACAAAAACAAATATATATATATATATATAGTTTTTGCCTTAAATCATGTGTACTCACGGGAGAGAGACAGAACAGTGAGAAAGTGAGAAATCACCCTCTGGGGGGGATGGCCATTCCATCCCTTCTCCATTTTCCTCCTTGAATCTTGGGCATGCACACACACACCCAGAGTGAGCTTCAAGCCATCAAGTGCGGGATTCAGACCATGGTCGTGATAGGCCATGTGGGAGTCCAACAATGTAAGTACTATGCCATCTGCTGGCCCCACTTTCTTATATTACTGCACATCATCTGCTTAAATATCAGCATCTGTTGTATGTAGGCCCGTTTTACATTCAATGTTGAAAGAGCCTACCAAATCCTAATTGATCCTCTGGCATTAATGTTAATGAAATTAAGTATTAAAAAAAAACCCTGTGTATGTAATTATTTTGTTGTTGAGATAAAATCAACATAACATAAAATTAATCATTTTAAAGTGCACAATTCAGTTGCACTTAGCACATTCACAATGTTGTGCAACCACCACCTCTGTATAGTTCCCAAACATTTTTATCACCCTAAAACAAAACCCTGTACCCCATTAAGCAGTTGCTCCTCATTTTTCATTGACATCAGCCCCTGGCAACCACCAGTTTGTTCTATTTCCATGTATTTATTCTGTATATTTCATATAAATGAGATTATGTAATATGTGACTTTCTATGTCTGCCTTCTAATGTTTCTAATTCATGTTGTAATACAACAATATTTCATTTTTTAAAACTTTTTCTATAGGGCATGTGAGCTCACCAGAAATAGAGAAAAGGAATATGAGAAAGCACCCCCCAGGAGGGATGGCCATGCAGCAATCCCCTCTACATTTTCCTCTTGGGATTTTAGGCATGCATGTACATGTGCTCAGCATATTCCTCAAGCTGTCACATCCAGGACTTGAACTACACAGTCAGCCATGTGGGATCCAACCGCCTTAACCACCATGCCAATGACCGGCCTGATTCTTTTCATTCTTTTGTCCTTTTTTAATTTACCAGGAAGTATATGCTCTCATTAGAGAGAGACGGAGAGCAAGAGAGATGGGGGAGGGACCAGCAGGTGGCATAATGGTTATGTTGCTGGACTCCCATGTAGTAGACCACAGTTTAAGTCCTAGACCTGGCGACTTAAAACTAGCACATGAGTTTTAAGTGCATGCCTAAAATCCCAAGAGGAGACTGGAGGAGAAGGGATTGCAGTATGGCCATCCCCCGGGGGGATTTCTTGCTTTCTGACTCTCTGTCTCTCCAGCAAACACACATGTCCTTATAGCAATAACCTCTCTAAAAAAGGTGGGAGGGGAAAAAGTATCCCCCAATGGGGAGTGGTCACACCACAATATTTCTCTATCCTGTCATCATTTGGGGCCGGACACGTGTCCAGCATGTTTTTCAAGCCCCCAGGTTCAGGATTCAAACCTTTCAACTAGCCATGTGGGATCTGGCTCCCTTAACCATCAGGCCAGGGCCGGCATATTTTATTGTTTACAGCTGAATAATATTCCACTATGAATAGACCCACAGTTTATTCATACATTGGTGATATGGAGCTATTATTTTTTTTAGAATTATTTACTTTTATTTATTCATTTATTTTAATATGACTAGAGAGAGACAGAGACAGAGAGAGAGAGAAAGGGGGAAGGCCACCAGGTGTGGGATTCAAGCTGTGGTCAGCCATGTGGGAGTGTTGAGCACCTTAACCACCATGCCACCTGCTGGTCCCTGATATGGAGCTATTTCAGTCTTTTGATTATTATGAATAATGCTGCTATGTTTGAGTACCTATGTTCACGTCTTTTGGGTACATATCTAGGAGTGAAAGGGCTGGGGCATGGGGCCAGCAGGTGGTATGATGATTAAGACTCTAGACTCTCATATGGCCAACTACGGTTTGAGTTCCAGACCTAGCAGCTTGAAAATCATGCAACACACATGTACATGCATGCCCCAAATCCCAAGAGGATAAAAGAGAAGGGATTGTGGCATGGCCACCATCCACCCTCCAAGGAGCGATATCTCATTTTCCCTCTCTGTATTTCTACTCTTTCTTTGGGAGTACATGTGCCCTATGACCAAAAAAAAAAAAAAAAAGAGAGAGAGAGAAAGAGAAAGGTTGGGTCATATAGTAATTTTGTATTTAACTGCTGGAGAACTGTGGAACTGTATTTCATAGCAGCCAAATCATTTTACATTCCCACTAGCAATGTATGAGGGCTTCAATTTTTCTACATCCTGGCTGACACTTGTAGCATGTGACATAATTTCCTTCTTTTTTAAGTCTGAATAATATTCTAGTGCATATATATATCCCTCATTTTGTTTATCAATTCACTTGGTGAACATTTGGGTTGTTTCCACCTCTCAGCTTTTGTAAATATGCTGATATGAACACAGGGTGCAATCATCTTTTCAAGACCCTGCTTTCAGTTGTTGTGGATATATATCCTAGAGGGAGAATGCTGGATTCTGTGATTGTTCTTTTTAATTTTTTGAGGACCCTCCATACTGTTGTCAATAATAGCATACCAACTTACAGTCTCATCCATAGTACTCTAGTTCTTTGCTCATTTTTGAATTGTATTGTTTGTCTTAATAAGTTGTGAGAGTTCTTCCTATTCAAGATACTAAACCCTTATTAGATATTGTGATGTATAAATACAATCTCCCATTCTGCAGGCTATCTTTCTACTTTCCTGATAATGTCCTTTGATGCACAAAGGT